TATATCAATCACTTGTTATTCCTTTTTTTACTCATCCTTTCACAAATTTAAAGAGTGGATTAATTCATTTTCTAAAATAAAATATTCTTAGAAGGGGTCTAAAAGATGACTATACAGACATGTAAGTTCAAATCTGGCGAGTGAGCAAAGGCACTTGCTAGCAGGCCTGAGGTCGTAAATTCAATCCCTGGGACCCACAGGAGAGCATGACTCCCTCTCTCCCACTAACTGTTCTCCATCTTCACATGCAGGCTGTGGCACCTACACATACCATATAATAAGTTGGTAAGTAAATGTGATTTAAAAGCGTTTTCTGAGACACTTAAAAAAGTCAAAAGGCCAGGTGGTGATGGTGCACGCCTTTAATCACAGAACTCTGGAAGCAGAGGCCAGCCTGGTCTGCAGAGCAAGTTCCGGAATAGACAGGGGTACACAAAGAAGCCCTGTCTTGAAAAACAAACAAAAAACAACCAAAAAAAGAGGGCAAAATAATCTTGGGTGTTGAAAACAACTGAAGCTGATTCTATAAGCAATTACTTAAAATATTTAGCAATATATTAAATCGAATATAAGCAGTACTTGGTCTTACCGATGAAATATTTTCCAGTTCCATGTGTTTGACCAAGGGCATTCGAAGAAACTGGCCCTTGATAAGGAAATCGAACTCGACATGTTTATGGAGCTCTGCAAAAGAGTAAGGGTTTTAAGAATATCAGTGTCACATGTATGGGAGCCCCAAAGCAATCACGTCTGCAGTACCCATTGCTGTCCAGTTGTTCCACAACTTCTCAGGGCTCATGTAGCATACCGAATGACTTGTTTTTGTTAAGACAAGGTTTCTCGGTGTAACAGCTCTGGTCTCCCGAGCACTGAGATTACAGATGTGCACCACCACTGCCTGGCTGATTTCTGGCTTTTTGAGACAGGGTCTTTGGAACTCACTATGTAGACCTGGCTAGCCTTGAACTCACAGAGGTCCACCTGACTGTGCCATCATGGTGCTGGGATCGAAGGTGCACACCACCATGCCACTTGGCTACATGATTTCTAAAGAACCAATATACTTTTCTCTTAACTTATACTTGGTTTTAAGGTGGTATAATTATTTTAGGAGCCTGGGGCTTGAACCCAGGTAATATGTATGCTAAGCACACATTCTAACACTCAATTAACTACACTCTATTCATCTCATCCTTTTGTTTTAAAAGAACGGTTTATTGAGTACACAAGAGGTCAACAGACTAGAAAATAGCTTGAATACCACCTGAAGCCCATTCTTTTAGTTTTAAAAAGATTCCGTTCTACAGAAAATGTACTACATAAAAATATAAATAACAGTGAACACATACATCCTGCTTTAATACTAAACAACTCATCATTAATTTCTATTCCTGTCTCCATTCTCTTTTAAAGCAACCTCAGAAACCATACCATTTTGTTTGTAAATGGCTTTATTATGTGTCTCTAAAATATAAAAATTTAAAACACAATGTTAAATATTAACTATGGCCAGGCAGTAGTGGCGCACACCTTTAATAACAGCACTTGAGAGGCAGAGGCAGGTGGATCTCAGTCAGTTCGAGGCCAGCCTGGTCTTCTATGAAGAGACTTTCAGGACAGCCAAGACTGTTACACAGAGAAACCCTGTATCAAAAAACAAAACAAAAATTAGCCATGTTATTATCAAATACTCAGGTTATTATTCATGAGGGGTTTTTTTTAATTAATGTAACATATATTTTGAAACTGGGTCTTGGTCTTAATGTGTAGCCCACACTGGTTTCATACATACATAGCCCAGGCTAGCCTCTAGAGGCTAGACAGATAAATAGGGCTATCTCAGACTCATTGTCAGTTTCTAGAGCACTGTAACTGCAGGTGTGTATCATCAGGCACAGCTGTTCATTTTGTGTAGTAGGCTTTTGAAAGCTGGCACCTAACTGGTTAATGTGTTTACTCAATCTTTAAAACTCCCCCTCCTTTTTCTTGTCATTTCCTCATTGAGGAAAGCAGGTCAACATCTTCTATTTCTTACATTCTGGGCTTGGTTAATTACATCTCCAAAGTGTCTTTCTATTTTTTATTTTTATTATTGTGTATGCATGGTGTGTGTTTGTGGGCGTGTACGCCATGGTACCCATGTGGCTGTCAGAAGACAACTTCGTGGACTTGGGTCTCTCCGCTTTTACTTGGGTTCTGAGGATTAAACTCAGGTCACCAGGCTTGCACCACTGGACAGCAAGCCTTTAGCTAGCTGAGCTATGTTGTGGCTCTACAGAGTGTCTTATGTTCCTCTATCCTCTACTATATCATGTAAACCAGTGAGCCTTAAATGATTAGTAAGACTTTAGTTTCTACCACATCAAAACGAATGCATTAACCAATTTTGTCTTCTTTTTTACATATGTGCGTGTGAGCATACGTGAGTGCATGAGTGTGTAAGTTCAAGGCTAATGTTGAATGTCACTCTTACCACCTTAAATATTAAGGCAAGGTCTCACCGAACCCAGCTTGATGTTGGGCTAGTCTGGCTGGCCAGCTCACTCTGGAGACCACCACTTCCACTCCCAGTGTGCTGAGATTATAGGCAGGTTCACACTAGCCTGTCCTAGAGAGCTGGACACTGGTCTTCATGCTTCCACAGAAACACTTCCATTCACTGAGCTATCTCTCCAGACTTTATTTTTTTCTTATAATTTATTTTTATTTTGTGTGCATTGGTCTTTTGCCTGTATGTACATCTGCGTGAGGGTATTGAATTTTGAAATTACAGATAGTTATGAGCAGAGATAGGTGAATCTCTTAGTTTGAGGTCAGCCTGGTCTACAGAGCAAGTTCCAGGACAGCCAGGGTTCTACAGGGGAAATCCTGTGTCAAAACAAAATTGTATTTATGTGTAGTTGGTGGCACTGTGTCCTCTCCTAACTTCTTGGCGCATATATACCTACCATTTTTGGTCCCCAGCAATTTATTGATGATGTTACTAAGGTCAGCAACTTCAGAGGCAGCGGGGATTGAGAAAGGAACGTCATCTACGGCATAGCTATAAAAGGGAAATGATATGTCAGTATTATGTATACACATATTTTGGCAAATCTGAATTTTTCATTCAATAACTATTTACTGGGTCCTTCATGCCAGACATTTGCTACAAGGCAAAACCAAAATGATATAAAATGTCTTTATTCTCAAAGAATCAAGCAGGCACTTGGGAGGAAGAAGCAGAGGATTTCTGTGAGCTCAAGGCCAGCTTGGTCCACAATGGAGTTACAGGACAGCCAGGCCTACACAGAAAAACCCTGTCTCGAAAAACAAACCAAAGTGTGTGGGGGGGGGGGGGGATCTCTGTGAGTTCAAGGCCAGCCTGGTCTACAAAGGGAGTTCCAGGACGGGCTCCAAAGCTACAGAGAAACCCTGTCTCGAAAAACAAACAAACAAACAAAAGACCAAACCAAAACCAAACCAACCAACCAAGCAAACAAAAAAACCCCAAAACCAAACCGAAACAAACAGCTGGGCGGTGGTGGCGAACGCCTTTAATCCCAGCACTTGGGAGTTAGAGGCAAACTAATCTCTGGGAATTTGAGGCCAGCCAGGTCTACAAGAGCTGGGGCAGGGGCTGAAGCTACAGAGAAACAAAAACAAAACAAACAAACAAAAAGAATTAAGCATAATGAAACCCTGTGACCACAATACCACATAAATGATATGACTATCAAAAATAAGTCACTTCACCAGAGAAAAAGGGTGGACGTGCAGGACCCAAAAGGGTGCACAGAAAGTGATGTTGGCCAGGTAAGGCAGGCATAGTCTGGAAATGAGAGTGTGGGAAAGAAAGAACAGCAGACCAAAGGAACTTACTCCTAGTTCAGGCAGTGATTTTACTTTAAGAAATGTTCAAAGATGAGACTAAAGACACAATAGTGTTTTAAATCCCATATACTATGAAATAGTTTTTAGTTCTTTGTGTAGGCAACAAGGAACCACTGTCGCAGTCCAAGTTAAAGAATAACAGCAGTACTTTAGTTAGATCTTCATAGCTGTGCAAACTAAATTAGAATAATTTATGACCGGAGGCAGAATAAAAGACCCAAAAAGAAATAGCATTTGCAAATCATTTATCTGGTAAGGAATTTGTATCCACAATATATAAAGAAAATTTATAATTCAGTAATGAAGTCTTTGAATATCACTTTGTACACATTATTGTGCAAATAAAGTGTTGGTGAAGATAAATACAGAGAAAGAGGAGCCCTCATTCACTGATGGTGGTAATGTAAAACGGAGTAGTCACTGTGGAAGAGTGTGCCAATAGCTCTAAGTTAAATGTGGACTTGCCATTTGACCCCAGAACTACACTCTGGGCGTGGTGGCATAGGCCTTTATCCCAGCATTTGGAAGGCTAAGGCCAGTAGATCAGTGGGTAGGCCAGCCTTCGCTTACAGCGAGTTCCAGGCCAGTGAGGGCTGCACATGATCACATACAAAGTGTACCTAAATACTTGCACAGCCACTATTCACAATAGCCAAAAAACTATAAAAAACACAGTAAGTGAAAGATGCCAGCCACAAAAGACCACAGTTTGTATAATCTTATTACACAAAATGTCCAGCATGTACACACACACAGAGATGGACGGCCTGTGGGTAAGTGGTTGACGGAGGTGGGGTGTGTTTAAGGGACTGAGTGGGAACTAAAGAGTGGTGAACTTTTTATAAATGAATTGTGTTGATGGCTGTACAATTCTACTACTATGATGCACCCGAATCTCACCCATATTCCGTATGTATCACTAGTGAATCTGCCATTTATATGGCTTATTTATATATAAACACATAAATACACACAAATAAACATATACGTGCACACTGTCCTGGTTAGTTTTGTCAATCTGACAGAAGCTACGGTCATCTAAGAGGGAACTTCAATTAAAAAAATGCCTCAATGAGATTGTCCTGAAGGCAAGTCTGTGGGAACATTTTCTAAATTAATGACCAATATAGGGAGAACCAGCCCACTGTGGGAAGTGCCACCCCTGGGCAGGTGGTCCTGAGTTTGTCTATAAAGTGAGTTCCAGGATAAGTCAGGGTTATAGAGAAACCCCGTCTCAGAAGAGGCAGGCTACAATGCAGCATTCTTTCCTGGTTTTTGCTTCAGCTCCTGCCTTGGCTTCCTCTGATGGTGATGTGTGAGCCAAACAACCCTTTCCTCCCCAAGCTGCTTTTGGTCATGGTGTTTTATCACACTATGTCTTACCACACTAAGACATAGTGGGCACACACACCTAATCAAGTCGGTAACTAAACTGACTTCATACTAATAAAAAAAAAATCAGCTCTACGAAATCCATATTCAGAGATCCAATTCCTAATACGGTTGAGAAGAGCAAATGAAGCCGTGCTTTCAGAAACCATGAGACACCATTAGCGGACAGCCTGTAAACAGAACTGTCACTATTTACCCCTCAAATTATGAAGTAGTGTGTGCATCATTCCGAAAGCAAACTCGAAGCCCGGTTCCTTCCACACACATTCAAATTATAAAGCGTTCACGAAGGTGGGTTGAAAAGCGGAGATCCAGGAAGCCAGCTAAATCGTGTCCACCGCTTCCAAACGGGACGACACAGGGCAGAAGTGAGGGGCACGGGAAGGGGAGGGCGAATGAAGTCTTTTTTATTTTTATTCTATCCGGCACTCAGGTTATCTTATTTGCATTAAATCCTCCTAATTCCGGCCAGAAACTTATTAAACTCCTTTCAACTTTGATTTACTAAAGCCTTGTCTGTTTCTTTTAACGTATATTCCCAGTCAAAACCGCAAGGACTACCAGTGACTCAACGGGGTCTTAAAGCCTGATCGGCTCCGGGAAGGCAGGGGCAAACGCCGAGACGCTTACTTACTTCTTGTTCTCGGTGTAGAACCGTGCCTGGAGTTGTGCCATGGCGGAAAGTGCACACGAGACTCCTCCACAAAGATGTGTGCGTTGACAGTCAGCACGCGGCAAGCGCCGTGGAAGGTAGGATCTGCTACCTTCAGCTTCCTCAGACCAAACCACGAGGTTCCCGTCGCGCAGGCGCCCAGCCCGCACACATCAATTACCTATCCCGAGATTCGGGAAACATCGATCAGTCAAGCACAGTCTTGAGAAGAGCCAGTCCCCTAAACACTTCTATGTTTGCACCATCAGATCCGTAATCGATTAGGAAAACAGGGAAAAGAACTAGCTCGAACCTGATTTTTTAGAGGGTGTCTTTAGGCCGGATACTTCGGCCTCAGCGCTCATATACTACAAACCCCAGATGGGAGCGCTCTGAAGGCCGGGAGTGGAGGTTTTATTTATTTAGCCACACCGAACTTAGGTTCTCTTATTTGCCTTTAAAACTCCCTTCTCCGGTCAGACATTCCATTTCCTGCTCCCTAGCCTGGGTAACAAAGGTCCCACCTGTCTGTTTTTTATGCGTCGTTCCAGCAACAGCCGGACTCGGCCGAGAACACGTGTTCTTACCTCAGGCTGCAGGGCGGAAGTGCCGGGCAGGAAAACGACGCGGAAGGGACTGGGGCGACGGTGGCCGAGAAGGGCCCAACCTTAAGGGCCTGAATTGCGCCTACCGGAGGGGTGCGCGTGCGCACTGCGCTGGTCTCCATGGCAGGGCCTCGGAGCCAAGACGAGGTTGAGTAGACTCGTTTTGAATTTTCTCCCTTCTGCTCCGGCGGACTCCCCTCTCGCGTTGCGGGGCTCACTGCGGCGGCAGGGTTGGGGGAGCCGGAGGTCCGGCAGAGCTGTCTGCGCCCACGGACCGGACACTCCCTCCCGACCACCCTTCTTCCTCCTGCCTCCGCCTCCTCGCGTCACCTCCTGACCCTCCCGGGCCGGGTGCAACCGCCGCCCCCGCCCCCGGCGGCCGCGGCCAGGCTGCTTGCTGTCCCGGCGCCTCGCCGGCCTCCCGGGAGGGGACCCGCGGCCGGAGGAAGGCAGGCGGCAGCAGGGGGAGGCTAGGTGTCCTGAGGAGGGTGCTGAGTCCGAGAGCACCCGCCGGAGAGGGGCCGCTCCCCTGCTTTCTCAGCCAGAAGTTTAGAAAGGCTTCCTCTGCACCTCTCCCCTGATTTAAGATTTGTTTTTGCTTTTGAATCGTGAACTCACTCAAAGGCCTGTGTCGGTCTCAATGGTCCCGATTATTGCTTTAGTTATTTTCCCTAGTGGAGAATCGATGGGGATACTTTAAGATCCCAAAGTCACATTCTAAGGCATTTGCCCAAAAACCTCCAAGGGGCGCGGCGGGTGGAGCGGTTGGCACTCTGGGACAATAATTGAGAGTCAGGCAGAACTGGATTGCAAAATGTGTGGGCTTAGCGGTATGTGTGCAGGTGAAAACAACGGAAGCTTTTCTTTTTCTTTTTTAATATGTTGCCTAATATTTAAATCATCTGTAGAAAATTAGAAGTGATCTACACAATTGAAGGCGAAAAACAACCATTTGTTAAGTGAGCAATGACAGTAAAAGCATGACAGTTTCAGTGTATCCTTACAGAATTGCATGCCCTGTAACAAGGATGCCTGCATTTGATTCTACCTGTGCTACTTAACCTCTGTGCCACACTCTGATCAACTGCGAGAATTAAATGTCACATAAGAAGCACTCTAGATGTTAACTATTGACTTCGTAAGAGCTAGCAGTACAAGTTTTAAATAGAAACGTCACTGACGTAGGTGGAGGCATAAAATGAGAAAACCTCTGCTCAAGCTCCAGAAAGAAATCACTTTGATAAGACTTTACATGTAAGCCATTACAATGTTGAGGATTTACATTAAATAATCTGCGACAGCTGAAACTTGAAATTTCTAACTTGAAGTGTGACTATTGAATTCTTACTGATAGCATATGATTGATTAATTAGCTTTTTAAACTTTCTTTAATTTGAACTTTATCAAGTTACCAATAGTTAAAAGTCAATACTTTTTATTTTAATTTGAATGGAGCTATGATTAGGAAGATGCAGAACCTGAATTACTCAAGGAAAAACATCAATTTGCAAAGCAGAAATCTAGGATTCACTAAAAGATGTTTTTATTTGGCTAAGATGTTTAGTTAAGGAAAAACTAGTTATTAGTTTTGCAAAATGTAGAATACCCAGCATGATTTTTTTTCTTCCATGAGTAACTTGGATGTCTTCATTGTATCCAGGCAGTGCTTGGGATAGCGTCACTAATGCTTTTGTGTCTTGGTTTCCTAAAAGTTTATTTAATATCAACTGAAAACCTTTGGGATTCATTTACTGTGGTCCTCATGAAGACTCACTGTTATCTGGAGGACCCCCAACAGGGAAAAATATTTCTTTTTGTTTCAATCTTTTGTTTTGAGACAGGGTCTCAGTCTTTCTATGTAGTCAGGATGGATTTGAATTTACTGTGTTTTCCTAGATTGGCTTTGAACTTGAGATCCCCCTGCCCCTACTTCCTGAATACTAGAATTATATATGCCTGATACCACACTTGGCTGTTGTTTGTTTTGAACCTGAATCTAAAGTTCTGGAATTAATATCAGGGTTTTATGTATTCCAGGCAAGCACTCTCCTCCTAGCTATATCGTATCCCAAGTTATGGGTTCTTAGAAGAATTACCATAGTTCCCTTTTATTCATGGTTTTGTGTTCCCCAGTCTCAGTTACCTGCTGTCAATATTAAATGGAAGGCCTAGAAATAACTCATGAGTTTTAGATTGTATCTTTCTCAGTAAGTAACATAATGTCTTGCACTGTGCTATCAGGGATATCATGTCCAGGGACAGTATCCACTCCATTGCCCGCCTGTTGGTAATAGTAACCTTTTTGGTTATTAAGTCAGCAACAATTAATTAATTAATTAAGTCTGTGTTTGAGTAAGTGCAAAGGTGATGACAGTGGCAGCTCACATATGCCAAAGAGAAGTTTTAAAGTGTTCTACGTCAAATGATGGAATTTTTAATTTGGCAAGAAAAGCTGTAGGCTAGTTTAGTAACATCTACAATTAACAAGCTATTTCAGAGACCACATCATGGAAGTTTTACTAAAGTTTATCGTTAAGACACTCTCTCTCTCTCTCTCTCTCTCTCTCTCTCTCTCTCTCTCTCTCTTTCTGCTTACTTATAAAATCATCTGTTTGTGCTCGCTTTAGGGATCCTGGTTCCAGGTATTCTCATTGGCTCAGACTGTGCCCCCAAGGATAAGAGGGTGGGCACCACTGTGTTTGGCTTACCCTTAAACAGATAATAAAGTCACTTTTGAATCTGTGTAAAATTAAATTAAGCTCTCAAAGAGCAAGGAAATAAAAAGGTGTGTGTGTGTGTGTGTGTGTGTGTGTGTGTGTGTGTGTGCAGGACAAGAGCTGTAGAAATCACAATTATAGGTAAAAGTGGTAAACATGATCCTTAACTTTTCTACTAGAAAGTAAAATGTTTAAGTTGGAGCTGCCTGCCTCTGCCTCTTCAATACTGACATTAAAGACATGCACCATCACACCTGGTTTAGGTTATTAGTTTTAAAGGATATGTTTTAATCCAGAAAGGTTAGGGGAGCAATACAAGATTAATGGTGACAGTTTCCCAGGAAGTACACCTGAGAAATTACCCTTAAAGCCTTGGACACAGAAACTTGCTGTTTATTAAAGTCGAAGATCCATATCCCAAGTAATAACATTTATAAAGAAACATCCGTGTCTGGAATAGTCTCCAGCCTTCTGCCATGCATTTACCATGTGTAAACAGTCAAACAGCTGTTAGAAAGTGAAAACACAGAAGCTGTAAGTTTCTTACCAACCTTTATTTTCTTAAAAAAATTGATTTTTAGTTGTTTGTATATGTATGCGCCTTGTTTGTAGTTTATACACTTGAGTACAGACCCACAGAGGCCAGAGGAAAGTGTGGCATCCCCTGGAGCTAGAGTTGCGGGTATTGGGAGCCACTGCACATGGGTGTTGGGAACTGAACCCTGGTCCTCTGCAAAAGCAGTATGTGTTCTTAACTACTGAACAATCTCTCCAGCCTGGAAACCTATACTTTTGCTACAGAATAAAATCCAGTTCTGTAAAGTGATAGGAACATCCTAGAAGGCCATTTCCCAGAAAAAGAAAAGCAAGCTCTCCAAAATTTACTAAAATAGATTCCATCATTTAAAAAACTAATGTATTTTTACTTAATGTGCACTGGTGTTTTTGTGTGTGTACGTTTGTATGACACAAACATGAGCCACCGTGTGGATACTAGGAATTGAACCCAGGGCTCCTGGAAGAGCAGCCAGTGCTCTTAACTGCTGAGCCATCTCCCTAACCCCCAAAGATTCTATCTTTAATGCTTCTTTCTGTTCCCTAGTCCTGGTACTTCCTGCTTACAAGATACATTTGTCAGCTCTAGGATTGGAGGTTGTAGGTATAGAAACTATTTTCAGCTCGTGGCTTCCAAAGATGCTGTACTGGTAATTACTTTCATTGAGGGGAAAAAATATGTGGCTACAGAAATCTTTGTTTCAGTGATACTTATAAACTGTTGGGCCTAAAATAAATGTCTAATTGTAGATAGGGAAGCAGGACAAGGGTTAAGTTGCCTCTTCTAGGACATAAGTGGTGTCAGACTTTAGCTCTTTCAACTGAGCAGAATAATGTTCTACCATGTTAGCCTGTCAATAAACAAAACGTATACTGTGAAATGTAGTAGTTTTATTTGTGTGTAGAAGAGTAAAATATACATTGAATATTATTTCCTTGCAGAGAACATGCTACTGTGAAGACATAATTACAGTTTTCACATGAACAAAGCTAGCACTATTGTAATTTAGTGCCCCAAAGGAAGACTGTCAATGACTATAAAAGGACATTTCTGAGGCTAACAGAATGTAGGAACCCAAGCTTGAAACCTGAGCCACTGCCTGAAGGTAATAACTTTTTAAACTTTTTTTTTTTTTTTTTGGTTTTTCGAGACAGGGTTTCTCTGTAGCTTTGGTGCCCATCCTGGAACTAGCTCTTGTAGACCAGGCTGGTCTTGAACTCCCAGAGATCAGCCTGCCTCTGCCTCCCAAGTGCTGGGATTAAAGGCATGCGCCACCATCGCCCAGCCTAAATTTTTTTTTTCAATTCATTAGTTGTCTTTTTGTTTTTTACATTTTTTATGTTTTAATATTATAAATTACCAAATCCATCCACTGTTCCTGTGCCCTCCCTTCATTCCAACTTCTCACCCCCTGGTCACTCTCAACTTCATGTGCCTTTTTTTTTTTTTAACTCACTGAGTCATCTCAGTGCTGCCAGTGTGTACAGGGGTCATTATTGCAGAGCCATCCACTGGAGCCTGAGTAACCTCTCAAGGTCGAATCCCTGAGGAAAGTAATTGTCCCTCCCCTACAGGAGCCATCAGCTGCCAGCCATCCCCAGTTGGGGTGGAACTTCGTGACTCCCACTTCTTTCTGGTTCTTGGACTTTGGCCTGATCCTGTCTTACGTGTGCAGTCATAGCTGCTGTGAATTGATGTATCTGACAAAGGGCTGGTATCTGGAATACACAAATGACTCAAAAAAAAAAAAAAAACACCAGAAAATAAACCCCAAACAATCCAATTAAACTGTCTCGGAGTGGAACTAAACAGAGCTCACAAGGGAAAAAAAATTACTAAGATTTTTTTTCTTTTTAATGTTCAACAAGCATCTTTAGCTATCAGGAGATTTTATATTACTCTCGTCAGAATAGTTAAAGTCAAACAAATGCTGGCAGAGATACATGAAAAGGAGAAAGATTATTTGTTTATCGCTATTATTCGTCTGAAGTTAAAAATCATTGAAAAATGAGTGTCTGTTGCTTAAAGATTTAAGAACACTCTTTGAGTCCTTTGAAACCTAATAGGTATAAGGAAGAGTTTTAGATGTATGAAGGGAGATATCAGCCTGTTTTATCAATATGCAGAAGCTGGAATAAGAATATCTGTTCTATTTGTGGTCACAGTGACCTTACCGTGGACACCAGAAACTCTAAGTTGAAAATGGTTCCAAGGAATCAGCTAAGTGCTCTTAATTGTTTAGCTGGGTTTTTTTTAACCCAATTTTAGAGATTTTAATATTTAAATTTTTTATTTAGTGTGATCATGCATGTATGTGCACACATGTGCATGCTTGTGCTTATTCAAGCACACACTACTGTGCACATGTGGAAGCCAGAGAACAGCATGCAGGACTTGGCTCTCTCCTTCCACCATCTGGGTTCCAGGACTCAAATATGAACCACGAGGCTTGGCAGCAAGCACCTTTACCAGCTATCTCCTAAGTCCAATCAGAGCAGAGTTTGTTCACTGTGATTATATTTGGGTGTTTTCCATTCATATGCATAATTATGGTTTACTTTTCATTTAGGTATGGTGAGACGAACAGACGAAGAGAAGATAATCTGTTATTCACAGTTCTCAAAAGGAGTGGGCATGCTGTACCCCAGAGAACCACACAGTGTGACACCGAGGTTGGTGGTAGGAACACATGGGTGCAGAAGACTGCAAAAGAACCTTGCTTGTGGTTTTTGAGAGAAAAAAAATGGGCAGAGAAGCCTAAGCAGACTAAGCTGGCTTAAGATCAGGAAGTTTGAACAAACTTATTGGATGATGGCTTGTATTGTATTGTATTGGTCTTAGGGAAGTTAAAGCTGGGCGTGCTGTCCCAGAGGGTCAGAGAGCCTATAATGAAGCTAGCTGTGGGAGCCTAGTATTTGGACTTGTTTGCATAGGGAGATTAGTTTTGCCAGAGCATCTTTTATATCTCTAGTCCTTCCCTGGTCAGTGAGATTCCAAAGATGCTGAAGGGTCATAACAAAAACTAGGAAACCTGATTAATATAAAATTGATATTAGTTTTAAATTTTCTTCCTTTGTGCTCTTTCCTTATAGAAGGAATTAGAAGCAATCCCTCTTTAGTCTCGAAGAGTTGATGCAAGATTATAGTTGCTTGGTTTCTAAAAATGTCCTTATATAATGTCTTGCCTTGATACTCATGTTGTGGGAAGATTTTTCACTTTCAACGTTTTTAAACACGTATAGGACTGTTCAACCTTTATAGTTCTAGAATTTATTTTGGTAAGTTTTCTTTTTTTCTAAGAACTTCCCATCATATCTTTGCCTTAATGTCGACTTTAGGTAGTCCCTTTTTTATTCCTGATATTAATTTGATTTGTGTTTTTCCCTATTCTTTAAAAAAATAATTATTAATTAATTAATTAATTTGCTTTTTCGAAGCAGAGTTCCTCAATATAACAGATCTGACTGTCCTGGAACTTCATTTGTAAGTCAGGTTGGTCTCAAACTCACAGAAATCTGCCTTTCTTGCCTCCCTAGTGCTGGGATTAAAGGTGTACACCATCACCACCTGGCAAAAAATGCTTATTTTTCAATTATATGTATATGGGTGTTTTGGCTACATCTATACATGTATATTATGGTCATGCTTGGTGCCTATGGAGGTCAGAAGAGGGCGTTGCATCACCTGGAACTGGAGCTACAGGCAGTTTGTGAGCTGCCATGTGGGTGCTTGGAACTGAAGTAAGAGCAGCACCAAGTGCTCCTAACCATAGAGATCACCTGCCTCTACCTCTACCTCTTGAGTGCTGCAATTAAAGACGTGCACCACCATGCCTGATTTCTCTCACTCTTTCTTGATAAGTGTTATTGTCTTCACTGTTTATTTTAATAATATTTAGTATGAGTTTAATATATATTTCTTCTATGTTTACCATTTTTAACTTTATTCCTTAGATACTTACTGTTTCCTTTTTCAAAGATTTTTATTCATTGACAAAAATTGTATTTATTTATAAAGGAGAACATATTTGATATGTATACATGGTGTGGTTAAATCAAATGAATGAACATTTTCATGACTTTTATTCTGTGTGTGTGTGTGTGTGTGTGTGTGTGTGTGTGACAGATGGGGCGGGGGGAGAGAGAGGAGATATTCTGAAGACTGTTCCAAGAATTTTGTGCATGCTAAGCAAGTGCTCTACCACTCACTGAGCCATGCCTCATCCCAATTACCAGTTTTGGTTTTTTGTTAATAGTATATCTTGGCTGGGCGGTGGTGGTGCATGCCTTTAATCCCAGCATTCGGGAGATAGAGGCAGGTGAGTTTGAGACCAGCCTGGATTGCAAAGCAAGTTCCAAGACAGCCAAGGCTATACAGAGAAACCCTGTCTCAAAAATGAAAAAAGAAAAAAAAAACACAAAAGAATGGTATATCTTTTTTAAATTAATTTCATTTTTAATTTTCTCTCTCTCTCTCCCTCTCTCTCTCTCTATATATGTGTGTGTGTGTGTGTGTGTGTGTGTGTGTGTGTGTGTGTGTGTGTGTAAAACAACCATATATTTTTGGCAGGAACCCTTAGTGACCAAAGGCATCAGATTCCGTGGAGCTTGTGTTATAGATGGTTGCTGGGAGTCAAAATCAGGTCCTCTGGGAGAGCAGCTATCTCTCCAGCCCTTATCAGTCTTTTTGTTTTAGGGATATTTAAGGGGCCAGAGAGATGAATCAGCAGTTGCGAGCTCTGGCTGCTCTTCCAGAGGACACAGATTCAGTTCTTAGCACCCACATGGTAGCTCACAACTCATAACTCCAGTTCCAGCACCCTCATAAGACATACATGCAGGCAAAACACCCATGCTCATGAAATAAAGGAGAGAATGCTTAATTAAGATCTACTCTCAACAGCTTTCAGGTATCCAACATTGTAGTCACTGTGAGATACGATAGCTCTTTTGAACTTGTCTATACTGAAATTCTGAGAGCCCCAACATTTCAGTTTTATTCGGTTGCACCTGTGACCTAAGACTCTGATGTTTATGCCGACTCACGGCCAGTACTTGTGACCTAAGACTCTGATGTTCATGCCAACTCACAGCCAGTACCTGTGACCTAAGAGTCTGATGTTCATGCTGACTCATGGCCAGTACTTGAAGATCTGGATCTCTAATCATTCGGAGTAGTATTGGTTTTTATTGTTTGTTGTTTTCGTTTTTGGTACAGGGTCACATATAGCTGAATGTGGCCTTGAATTAATTATGTACTTGAGGCTGATCATGGACCTATCTGTCTCAGCTTCACAAATACTGGATTATAGGTTTACACCACAATTTCTGGCTGGAATGGAGTTCTAAGTATATCTGTAAATCAAGTTTGCTTGGGGTTTTGTTTTTCCTTGTTTTCATGTTTGATGACGTGATGTGAGGTAGTATGATGAAGGCTTGCTTTGTGATAATGGCTTTGCCAGTTTGGTTCCAGATTCTATCCAGTTTTTATAAGTTACTAAGGGAAATTTCAAAATAATAGCAGTTGTATAGCGACACAAAGCCATTTATGAGTGCTTTCATTGTTGTCTCCAGGCCGACCTTGTTTTATGTGTAGCTCTGTCTGACTGTACTCCTTTCTCTCAGACTTTGAATGTGACATAACTTTATATCACAAATTCAATTTTAATGAGCCAATATAGAGTGTAATTAAGAGCAGAATGAGGGAACTATGTGATCCTAACATTTTTATTTGCCTTAAATATATTATGGTGCCTTGGCAAGTTAATTAATAAAAACAGTAATTTCCTATCTATAGAATGGAAATTATTTTGCCTATATTGTGTAAGGTACCATGGTTATGGAAGATGAAAGATTTATTTGGGATTAACACCCCCATAAAAATGTTAGTACTACAGTTGATGACCAGATGTTTACCATTCCAGCTGTTAACTAATAGGAGAAAAATGAGACTGAATATGAAGCCAGCATGGAACAGCAGAGTTTGTTAGGAGCCAGCTGTAGCGATGGGAAAGAGTCCGAAAGAGGAGCTCAGGAATCCGAGGTAGGGATTCAACTGCAAGGGTTTCTGGTCTTACGAAGAACACCATGCATTTAACAACTTTTCATGCTTGAAAATAGTCTTTTACTCAGTGATACAAGATTTTTAATACACCAGGAATGGTGGTACACACTTGTTTTCCAGGCATCCAGGAGGCACAGCTCAGGGCCAAGAGTTGAAGGTCAGGCCTGGGGTGTGTATTTGAGACTCTGTTTCAAAAAGGTTTTGATACATATCTCTCATATATTTAATTTTTAATATAGAATTTTTAAATAATGCTTAGATATAACCATAAAATTTTTGTTCTCTCTATATATATTGAATTATATTAATCATTTCCATATGCATCCCTGAGAAAATAAAAAGTTAAAGCATGTGGAAGTCAATGCACTCAAGACAGTGGTTCTCAACCTGAGGGTCATAGCCCTGTCTGGAGTTGAGTGACCCTTTTGATAAGGGTCACCTAAGACCATCCAAAACCACAGATATTTATGATTCATAACAGTAGCTAAATTACAGTTATGATGTAGCAATGAAAATAATTTTATGGTTAGGGTTCACCATAACATGAGGAATGGTATTAAAGGGCCACAGATTTAGGAAGGTTGAGAACCACTACCTTAAGAAATACTTTGGGCTGCAATGTAGCTCAGTGGTAAATTGTTGGCTAGCATGTAGAAGGTCCTGTGTTCAATGCCCATCACTAAGAATACCCAAACTCTGCAGGCATAGTGTTGGTCCTGGGTTCAATACCCATCGCTAAGAATACCCAAACTCTGCAGGCATAGCGGTGCACATCTTTAATATCAGCACTCAGGAGGGTTTGAGGCCACACACGGTCTACGTATCTCCAGAAGAGCCAGGATTATATAGAGAGACCCTGTCTAAAAAAAAAAAAAAAACAAAATAAAAACTCTTGTAGTAAAATGAATAATGAACTGAAATATAAATGTCCTTCTATGTTTATTATCAGTCTTTTTAAAAACTGTAAAAATAGACCAAGTAGTGGTGGCACACTCCTTTAAACCCAGCACTAGGGAGGCAGAGACTCTGTGAGTTTGAGGCCAGCCTAGTCCACAGAGCAAGTTCCATGGCCAGGGTGGTTACAGAGAAAGCCTGTCTCAAAAAATCAAAAACAAAACAACAATGACAACAAGAAAACCTTTGTAAGAATATGGTATATTTTTCAAAGGCATTGTCATTTTTTAATTAAAAATTTATTTTTTGACTTTTCAAAAGCATATAACCTGTATGGACTCTGGGGATCCTTCCTTTGGACAGAATGAGCCCCCCACCGTTTTGCCAGTTACTGCTGAAACAGATGATCCCCTCACATCACAGGATCTGCCAGAGACACTGACTGATACACAGGCCCTCTGTGCAGAGCAGTTCCATCTTTTAGACCCAAATGGACAGCCTCTTCAATATGACCTCCACTCACAAATGGTGAGTATATTTTATAGCTAATGAGTGTTATGGTATTTAATAATATCTATTAATCATACTAAATGACCTTAGTTTCTTGATACTACTAGCTTATACTTTATATTGAAAATATTCTTTCTATGACTTTTTTAAAATATGGGTATTTTTGCTTTTAGGAGTGCAAAGACTACAAATAGTATTTAAAGCAGTCCTTACTTCCATGTCAGGCACACTGGTGTTTGATAGGAGCTGAGTGTGGTCTATAGCTAGTGCTTAGATACTAAAGTTTGCTTGTAAGTTACTTTTTGTTTTTGGGGACAAGATTTTGTATAGCCCAACCTGTCTTTGCCCTCTCTGTGTTATTAAACTTCATGCATGTGCTATCATGATTAAGATCATAGGTGCTTAAGACATAGGCGATAGTGAAACTGATTGATTTGAATCTTAGCTTCAGCACTTGTCCACTGTGGGACCTTTGGAGAAATTGGCAGTCTCAGTGCTGTGTCATCCTAGAAGTAGGTGTCCGCTTCAGTGACGGAGTAGCCCTGGTAAATCAGAATGGCATATCGTTTCTTTAACGTCTCCAAGACGATCACTACCAGCCCTTCAGAAAATAAACAGGTGCTTCATGTAATCCTACCTACCCAGACAGGAATGGCGCAGGTGACCATACCTCGGGAGCCGCTGGTGGATGCGACTAGTCCCCAAGGTGAGTCAGTATGGGATGGGAGCAGGCATTGACCGTGCTATAAAGATTAGGGTGATAGTCTAGAAAATTTCCCATGGACATCCATATTAAAGTTCATCTCTTTAGGTAACATTGTGAATTAAGTAATTAGAAAACTTTTTTTTTTTAGTTTAGCCCCAATAAATCTTAAGTTCGTTTTTGAACGCCTATCTAGGTTAACTGTCTATTTGATTTTGGAATTCTGTGAAGCTGGTTGACTTTTGCTTCCTCCCAAATAACCAGCATAAGATAAATTCTTCTTAATTATAGAAACAACAATGAAATTGCAACAATAGCACAAATATAGTACCTAGAGACAGGAGATTTTTATATTTGTATTTTATTGATTTTTTGCTAGCTTTGTGACCCATTCTTTTTTAGTCTGTTATTTGACTCTTCTCCCCCTCCCCCACTCCTTTGTTTCACATTAAGAAGAGAATCAGGCTTCCATTCACCCATTTCTTTTTGCCCGTTTGATAGTATCCCTATTAATTTTTTCCCTCCCTTTGCAATATAGTTTAATCTCTTTTTAACGTCATTGCTACACTGTTTTGTTGCTCTTTTATACATAGTTCTTTTTGACTTTATGATTTGTTGTCTTTATTAATAGTCATTAAAAGTTAAAACAAAACATGATTTACAGGAACATTATAAACACAATGTATAAGTAAGTTTTTGTTTTTGTATTACATGTGAAACTCTTTAATATAACAATTATTTCGGCTATTTCAAAATCATAACTGAAATATAAGTATAAAAAGTTAACTGCAAAATTTCATAGTCATGCAATTTAAATTGCATTTTAAAATTTTAAATAAAATGCAATTTAAAAGTAATTAAGTTTATCAGTGACAGTCTCAATAAATTATTTAAAGTTTTTTTTAACTTCAGAACAAGTCTTCTTTTTCCTGTTTAAGTGATTTAATTTTAGTTAAGTAATCGTCATAATGTTATTCAAGATACTGATGTTTCTTATTTTTGTTGTTAAGATGCCTCTGAAGAGAAACCCACTGACAGAAGCTTACCAACTGTAAGAGCAGATACTCTAGAAGCCAGTGCCAGTAACTGTATTCTTCGTTCACAAGCATCCCTTGTGCTACCCAGAAAGTCAGGGACCAGGTGAATCATGGGAAAGAGGAGCTTGTCTTTGGGGTCACGATGGAAGTCTGTTTTTAAGTGATCATATCTAAAGATGGCAGACAATAGAAAACATCAGAAGTTCACAGAGAGGAGGCGTTCATCACATGTGTCTCCCTTTAGTTCACAGAGAGGAAGCGTTCATCACATGTGTCTCCCTTTATTTTAGTGCGTCTTGGCAAGGACAGATTCCTGTTTTATTTTGTTTTTCTTTTTTTTGTTTTGTTTTGTTTTTTATTTATTTATTTATTTATTAAAGATTTCAGTCTCTTCCCCCCCCCCTTTTTTTGAGAAATGTTAAATGCCAATAGTACGTTTCAGAATAAAGACATTCATTCAATTTCCTAAGATTTTTAAATGGTTTAACAGCGTTTATATAGATATAATTCCTATATGGTAAAGTGTTTGCAATTTTTTTTTAATTTTTTTTCAACACAGGGTTTCTCTGTAGTTTTTTGGTGCCTGTTCTGGAACTAGCTCTTGTAGACCAGACTGGCCTTGAACTCACAGAGATCCGCCTGCCTCTGCCTCAAAGGTGCAATTTTTTTTATTAGCATTGTGTGTGTGTGTGTGTGTGTGTGTGTGTGTGTGTGTGTGTGTGTATGTTAGTTCTGGAAATTGAGCACAGGGTCTTGGGCATGCTAGGCAAATATTTTCCACACAGTTACAAAAACATAGCCTGTCTTTTGCTAACTTCTACTTGGTTTTATCTTTTTTCCTAAAAATAACATTTTTCATGATGATTCTAGGAAAATATTGATAATATCCCTATTAATTTTCTTCCTTCCATTTGTAAAACTTCTTGTTTTGGGAATTTATTTTAATTCTATGTGTATGGGTGTTTAGCCTGTATGTCTGTGCAGTGCCCTTTGAGGCCAGAAGAGGGCATTAGGTCCCTGGGACTGGAGTTACAGTTGTTTTTAAGTTTATTTTATGTGAATTGGTGTTTTGCCTACATGTATGTCTGTGAAGGGTGTTGGATCCCCTGGAACAGGAGCTATAGACAGTTGTGAGCTGCCATGTGGGTACTGGGAATAGAATCTGGGTCCCCTGGAAGAACAGTCAGAGCCCTTAACCGCTGAACCACTTCTCCAGCCCCTCCCTTGAAGTATCGGTTTCGTGTTTATATTTCTTTAATTGTTCTATGAAAATATTTTGGCTGGGGGGCGGTGGTTGTGCACACCTTTAATCCCAGCATTTGGGAGGGAGAGGTAGGTGGATCTCTGTGAGTTAGAGGCCAGCCTAGACTGGCTCCAAAGCTACAGAAAAACCCTGTCTCAAAAAAACAGAACAAAACAAAAACCAAACCAAAACAAAAAAAAAAGAAAAGAAAGAAAGAAAGAAAACATGTGAACCATTTGTTTATATTTTTGTTTTTTTTTTCATCATGTCTAGGAATTTTTTCCTTCTTGATTTCTTCAATGACCCAGTCATCATTCAACAATGTATTGCTTAATCTCCATGAGTTTGTATATTTTCTGAAGTTTCTATTGCTGTTAATTTCTGGCTTTATGCCAGGCAGTTGTAGCCCACACCTTTAATCCCAGCACTTGGGAAGCAGAGGCTGGAGGATCTCTGTGAGTTCAAGGCCAGCCTGGTCTACAGAGGGAGTTCTAGGATAGCCGGGGCTACACAGAGGAAACTCTTTTTTCAAAAACCAAAATATTGAATAATAATAATAATAATTCTGGATTTATTCATCATAACCAGCAAGAATACAAGATGTTGTTTAAACTTTCCTACATTTGTTGAGACTTGCTTTGTGTTTTAATGCATGAGCTATTTTAGAGACAGTTCCATGGGTTGTTGAGAAGAGCGTGTATTCTCCCTTGTTTGGGCAGAATGTTTTGTAGCTGTCAGTTGGGCCCGTCAGTTAGTTTGGTCTGTAATGATGTTTAATTTCAATGTTTCTTTATTCACTTTTTGTGCAGTTGAGTTGTCTAGTAGTGAGAATGGGGTATTGCAGTCACACACTATTACTGTTTGGTGGTTATCTGTGATTTAAAATCTTGTAGTATTTGTTTTACAAAACTGGATGAGTCTGTATTTGGTGGACATGATGCTTTGAGAAAGATCATCCATGGTTCATCTTTTCTAACACATTGGTCCCCATTAGTGTCCCTGTCTGTGGAGATCATAGGACTTTGCAGGAAGAAGTAGTCACTGGGGGCAGGTGTGGAGGGTTTGGAAACTTGCCCCACTTCCTGCTGTCTCTCTCTACTTCCTGTGTGACTTCCCTGCATGAGGGACTCTCTCTCTGGAACTGTAAGTCAAAGTAAACCCTTTCTTCTATCATTTGCTAAGGTGAGTATAGTTATCGCAGTGGGCAGTATAGACAAAGTCATGCCCTGACCCATAATGCGCAGCACAGGCAACATGATCTTTGTGGTGGCATGACTTGTGTGGACCTTTGGTACTAGCTAAACACTCGTGGTGTTTCCAGGAATGAAATAAATAAGAAGCCTACTGTGTTTTTGTTGGATCTGTATAAGCAAACATATTCTCAGACAAATGAAAGTCTACATTGGATAGTGGCAAGAAGGAATCTCAGTCACTAAACTAGTTTTTAGATATGATCAAGTTTGCAGATACAAAACCCCTTGAATGAAGAGAAGGACAGATTCCCCTTAGGAAAGGACCTTGCTAAATTACCTAAGAATTTGCTATTAGCCTTTCTCCTACATTCCCCTGTTTTTTTTTTTGTTTTTTTTTTTGTTTTTTTTTTTTTTTTTTTTTAACCAGGCTAAGTGTACACCGTGGAAGTAATTAGACCTTCCAAGGTCTTTTGGATACTGGTTCTGAATTGATACTGATTCTATTAAATCCCAAGAAGCATTGTAGTCCTCCAGTTAAAGGAGGGGCTTCTGGAGGTCAAGTTGATTAATGGAGTTTTAGTGAGGTCTGTCTCACAGTAGAACCAGTGGCAGAATTCCTACAGCTCTTGACTCTGGCTAGCCCCACTGTTTTTCCTGTGCATGACCACCAACTCGACCACTCTTCTGCCAGAATGGCACACATTGCTTCTTTAAAGGAACACTTTACAAATACTTCATGGTTTTAGACATACGTGTGTCCTTGATGATCTGGGCAGTTCCCTGGGTATTTTAAAAATGAACTCAAGATCTGAGCCTCTTGATTGACACGATTTTGTACGGTTTTTTGAATGAAGAGAGTGGCTTGGATGCACACCTTCCTAGACCTGGATGGAGGGGGGAGGGCCTTGGACTTCCCACAGGGCAGGGCACCCTGACTTCTCTTAGGACTGGAGAGGGAGGGGGAGGATGGGAGGAGGTGGAAATTTTTAATAAATAAATTTAAAAAAGAGAGTGGTGAACATTTTCGTAGGTCACCTCTGGCCATATCTGAGAAGAGTTTATTGCTTTATCCTTTAGCCCCATCAGGAACTATAATGTATATTATCAATAAAAAAGTTACTGTGGCAGGAGAGACTGCTCAGCAATTAAGAGCTCATTGAGATGATCCTTTGTGAAAAGGAAGAAATTGTTTCTAAAGGTTTTATAGAAAAAAAAAAGAGATTCCTAGAAGAAACCAGAAAAACATAAATCAATGGCATGGAGTACATATAGCATTAAATACATGTATAGAAATTTTTGTTTGTTTTAAATATTTATTTATTTCTTTATTATGTATACAATATTCTGTCTGTGTGTATTTAAAAAGGAGTCAGAGGCTGGAGAGATGGTTCTGTGCTTAAGAGTACTTGTTCTTGTAGAGGACCTGGGTGTGGTTCCTAGTACTCATACAGTGGGTTACAGTTCCAGGGGATACAATGCCCACTCTGGCCCCAGTCACATGTGGTGGTGTGTTAACTTACATGCAGGTAAACTATGAAGATACATAAAATATTTTTTTAAAGATGTGGGGAGATGGCTTAGTTAGTAAAGCATTTGGCACGAAGTACGAGGCTCTGTGTTTAAAACCAGGTGTAGTAGTTCTTGTCTGTGGCCTCTGGGAAGTGGGCCCAAAGGAAGACTGAGCCCTTGAGTTCACTAGCCAGCCAGTTTGCAGAGTTAGTGAGCTCCAGGTTTAGTGAGAAACCCAGTCTTAACCAAGGTGAGCCAGTTGGTGTGTTGGTGGCGCACACCTTTAATCCTAGCGCTTGGGAGACAGAGGCAGGCGGATCTCTGTGAGTTCAAGTCCATACTGATCTACAGAGCAAGTTCCAGGACAGTCAGGGCTACACAGAGAAACCTTGTCTGAAAACAAAACAAAACAAACAAACAAACAAACAAAAAACCTGAAAAGTTAAGGGTGACTATGGAAAATATCTGATGTCAACCTCTGGTTTTGATATACATACGCACACATGTATATGCACATGTGTGCCCATATATTACAGTATTACACACACATTATGAAGTAAAGAAAAACAAAGCAGTTAAATGTTTTGTGTGTGCATGACTGTGTATTTACATCTACTCTTCTCTCCCAGACTGCTCGAGGAATCTTTGCCATCTCCTCTGCAGCCACTTTCTTCTAACACACCTATATGGGCCTGCCGTCTTAGAAGTTGTGAGGTGGGTTTCATTTACCTGGTTATGACAACATTTCATCCCCAACTGAACATTTTTGCATACAAATAGTAAGTCGTTATCTGTCATATTCTGTATGCATTTATGCTTAATCTAAGCTCGCCTGTTGTTTCATTCTTTAAAGATAAAGGCTCTGGTAAAGCGGGAGTTTTGCCTATTGTGTGGTGCCTGCCTGTACTCCCAGCACTTGGTAGGTGGTGGCCGGAGGATCAAGAGTTTAGAATGTTCCTTGGCTACATGAGTTTGAGACCAGCTTGGGCTACATGAAGCCCTGTCCCTGAAACACAGACTGGAACAAGAGAAAAAGCAGCAGTCATATAAAGCTCTTCTGGCTCTACTATCATTTCTTCTCTGTGGCTGACTTTCCTTGTTATCATCCCTTTAAATTACCTCCTGCCTCCCTCCCTGCCTCCCTCCCTCTTTCTCTCTCTGTTTGCATTTATTTCTTTTTATAGTCTCACTATAACTTCCTCAAGATTTGCTTTTGACTTTGTCTTCATTTTATCTTTTGAAGGATTTTACCTATTTTGTTGACTTTCAACTATAAAATATTTTGCAAACCTATATCACCAGTTCTGTAATTCTTACTGTTGTCCCAGACCTTCAGCGTCTTTTTGGAAGTTTTATTTAGAGTTTACCTTAAATTCACTGCAACCATATCAGTTCTGCTTCCTAAATTCTTTGCCTGTTTCATTAATAAACACCATTTCCTTAGATATCCAGACTCAAATTTTTCGACTGATTTCTTTGTTTCATTCAGATACTTAGCTAGCTTTTTTTGTTATTGTTGTTTTGACTGTGTGTTTGTTGGAGATGATCTCACAATGTAGCCATAGCTGGCCTGATACTCACTATGCAGACAAAGCTAGCTTTAAACTTGTCTTAGTTGGTCTGGGGGTAGAATTTTAGATACCCAAGAGAATGGTATATTACATATTCTTCAAGCTTTCTTTTCTAACTTACATCTGTTTGACAATAGCACTTGAGTTCAGATCAGACCCCACTGGTTGTACAGACCAGTGGTGAGGAAGTGAACTGATGCTGTTTTATGTTAGGAAACTGTCTTGTTAAACTAACTGTTCACTCCCTTTACAGAAAATTGGAGACTCCTATCGTGGCTACTGTGTGAGTGAGACTGAATTAGAAAGCATCCTAACTTTTCACAAGCAGCAAACCCAGAGTGTCTGGGGCACTCGCCAGTCTCCAAGCCCAGCCAAATCTGCCACGCGCTTGATGTGGAAGTCCCAGTATGTCCCCTATGACGGAATCCCGTTTGTCAATGCAGGTACTTCTCATCAGTTACTTACAGCTCCCCAGTAGCTGTGCTCTTTGTGAACATGTGATTTCTCTGTGACAGGATACATTTCATTTTGGTAGGTAAGAATTTAATTTTAATTGCTGGAAATGAATATTAAACTAAAAAGAAGACAGCAAATATAACTAATTTATGTCATAAAATTAGTTTTACTCTATGACACTGAATAAATAATACTTCATAAATAGAACTTTAAATTGCAAGTAGACCTATAGACAACATTACCTAATCAAAAGTAATTCTTTATAGTCTCACTAACAGAAATAAATCATCTCTCAGATAGATAGATGATAGATATATGGACAGACACATAAAATTTCATTGTTTAGAACAGATTCTACAGCCAAATAAGCTCCAGAAGCTTTGTTTTTTGAGGTTTTTAGGCTTAAGATTTACTCACAAAGAATTGATGTGCTAGGGGGAGAGGCGTGGGGGGAGGGGGAAAATGGGAGGCAGGGAGGAGGCGGAAATTTTTAATTAAGAAAAAAGAGGAATGAATTGATGTGCTGTGGGGGGGGCGGGGGGGCTGGAGAGAAGGCTCAGAGAGAGGTTAAGAGCACTGGCTGTTCTTCCAGAGGTCCTGAGTTCAATTCCCAGCAACTACGTGGTGGCTCACAACCATCTGTAATGAGATCTGGTGCCCTCTTCTGGTGTGTAGGCAGAACACTGTATACATAATAAAAAATAAATTAAAGAATTAATGTGCTGATTTTTACTTCTGTTGACAATGTTACAAACTTCTCTACATGCAATCCCTGGCTTAGTATTTCCAGACTTTAAAAAAATATCCAGGTTAAGCCGGGCATAGTGGCATATACCTTTAATCCCAGCATTCAGAAGGCAGAGGTAGAAATATCTCTGAGTTTGAGGCCAGTCTGATTTATGTAGTAAGTTCCAGGACGACCAAGGCTATACAAACAAAACAAAACAAACAAACAAAAAACTCAGTCAGAAGTACTGGGTGCCACTTTATAATCCAGCACTCAGGGAAGCAGATGTAGAAGGCTCTGTAGGAGTTCAAAGCCAGCCAAGGCTACTTAGTGGACCCTGTATCCAAAAAAAAAAAAAAAAAAAGAAAAAGAAAAAGAAAATTATGAGCCGGGCGATGGTGGCGCACGCCTTTAATCCCAGAGGCAGGTGGATCTCTGTGAGTTCGAGATCAGCCTGGTCTACAGAGCTAGTTCCAGGACAGGCTCCAAAGCCACAGAGAAACCCTGTCTTGAAAAAGCAAAAAAAAAAAAAAAAAAAAGGGAATTTTCATATGTATCAAAAATAGAGGTAAGAATATAAAAACTCTGCATTTTTAGTAAGAAATACTGATGTTTTACTCCATAAGATTATGTAATTAAGACTATAGATTTTGAAATTGCCACAACCAAGTTGTTAAAGATCTGTCTAGAATATATGAGCACCTAAATTACTGTCATTGGTTGGTTTTGGGCCACAGGTAGTCGAGCTGTGGTAATGGAGTGTCAGTATGGACCAAGGAGAAAAGGTTTCCAGTTACAGAGACTCAGTGAACAAGGAAGCAGGTCTTGTCATCTCTACAGAGCTACGTGCCCAGCCAGGTAAGCTATTTTATCTTACTTTATCTTTTTACATTGAAGTTTTAATTTTGAATAGCAAATAGAAACATTTTTATTAAGTTTAAACAGTTCAGTTATGTAAGTTCTAAGTTCTTTTTTCCACGATTGTTTTATATCTTTCTCATTAAAGCTTCTACTCTCTTTTTAAAAGATTTTATTTATTTATTACGTATACAATATTCTGCCTGCACGTATGTCCATGCCAGAGGAGGGCACAAAATATTACTATAGGTGGTTGTGAGCTACCATGTGGTTGCTGGGAGCTGAACTTAGGACTCCTGGAAGAGCAGCCAGCGCTCTTAACCTCTGAGCCATCTCTCCAGCTCAAAGCCTCAACTCTTAACAGTTTTTTTGTGTGTCATTTTACAAAGATTTTCTGTATATGAATGTATATGTGTATGAATATACACATATCCTCTTCTACCCTAAAAGGTCAGTAAAGCCTGCTAATGTTTTCTTTCCTTAAACTGAGGTAATAGTATTCCCTCTTTTCTGCTGCCTGAAAAGACTATAGTGAATATTTATCTTAGTTAGGGTTTCTATGGCTATGAGGAAACACCATGACCATGGCAACTTTTCTATCTATCTATCTATCTATCTATCTATCTATCTATCTATCTATCATCTATCTACCTACCTATCTACCTATCTATCAACCTACCTATCTACCTATCATCTATCTATCTATCTATCTATCACCTATCTACCTACCTATACCTTCCTACCTATCTAATTTATTTATCTATATATTTATTTGTTTGTTTGTTCATTCAATCATTTATTTTACATACAGTGTCCTGAGTGCACGACGGCACCAGATCTCATTACAGATATCTGTGAGCCACCATGTGGTTGCTGGGAATTGAACTCAAGTCCTCTGGAAGACCAGACAGTGCTCTTAACCTCTGAGCCATCTCTCCAGCCTGACCATGGCAACTGTTACAAATGAAAAACATTTAATTGGGTGATTTACAGTTCCGAGGTTCAGTCCATTATCATGGTGGGATGTGGTGGCATGCAGGCAGATGTAGTGCTGGAGAGGGAGGTGAGAGTCTACATCTTGCACAGATGACAAGAAGTAGTCTGAGACACTGGGCATGACTTGAATATATATGAGACCTCAAAGCAGGCTAGCTTCACACACACCGCGTGGCCAAGGGTGGCCTTGAATTTCTCACCCTCCTGCCTCTGCTTCTTTAATTCTGGGATTTACAGATGTTTACCAATATACCTAGTGACAAACTCTGTATTAGATCAAAACGACAATCAATAACCTCATTTCAGTTTATTAGTAGGATAAATAAGTATAATGGTAATTGTCAGGGAAAGGTTATAATTTTTAAAATGTTGACAAAGAAAAAAAATGCTTCTAAGAGATTTTACCAATTTACACTCATACCAGAAATGTATAATAGCCATAGTAATTTTTAGGTAGAGGACTAGGTTGTCATTGCTCTGGGTGAGAATAAAAAATACGAACCAATGAAGGACTTTTTTCTTAATATTCTATACTCTCTTAGACATTGAAAATGTTCAAAATTATTAGTAAAATGAATAATGTTAAAGGCATATTGGGCTGGGAGAGAGGAAAGTGGTACAGGTAGCCCAGGTGTGTAGCTGTCCTGGAACTTGCTATGTAGATCAGGCTGGCCATGAACTCATAAAGATCCTCCTCTCTTTGATTAAAGGCATACATCACCACGAGTGGCCTAATTTATGTGTTGTTGTTGGCCAGGCAGTGGTGCTCACCTTTAATACCAGTACTGGAGGATTGAGCAGAGGCAGGTGGATTGCTGTGAGTTCAACATCTTCCTAGTATACAGAATGAGTTGAATGAATTTAGGTAACGAGAGTTTCAAGGCGATCAGCCTGGAAGAAGATCCATCAAATAAACCAAATGCAAATTGTGGCTTCCAGGACAGGGAAGGAGAAAAAGGTTAAAAAAAAGTCTATATTTAGATATTTATACTCAGTTTGTGATCATTGTTGATTTTCTAAGTATCATGCACTCAATATGACAGCTTTTGTAAGCTTCTGAATACTAAATTCAGTGTTCTCTAACTTTTCTTTTGAGTTCTTTATTGATGTTAGGTATTTCTTGAGATTATAATGAACACTTTCTTCTTTGTATTGCATAAAGGATTTACATTAAAAAGGTCCAGAAGTTCCCTGAATATAGAGTGCCTACAGACCCCCAGATGGACAGGAAGATGATCAGAGTGGAGCAGGAGAAAGCCTTCAGCATGCTGAAGAAGAACCTGGTGGATGCTGGGGGTGTTCTTCGGTATGACATTCAGACAGTATGTTTTAAATTGTTTCATCGAGGACTGGCTTTATAAGTTAGATGCCTCACCAGTATTAAAGTTATTTACTATTGTATATATTATTAAGTTTATTACCTAAAAATTGTGTATAACTCAAAGAATACGTTGTTGATTACTATGACAGCCATCTGTGAATTTTAAGCCCAAGTAAAATTTTATTTTATGCTTCATGTTAGATAGAAGGAACTATAATATTTCTTGCTTACTGTTCTTTATTTGTTAATTCAGGTGAAGAATTTATTATTGCATGAGGTCAAATATAAGGAAAACTTTTATATGATCGTTTATAAAAATTTAAAAAATGAAGTCAATAATTAGACTCTTCAATTTTTAAAATATGTAGCTCTAATATTTTTATTTTAAAAATATCATTAGATTCTAAAATTTTATTTTGTGTTTAAGAGGTTTTCCTGGATGTCTATATGTGCACCATGTACATTTTGATGCCATAGAGCAAAGGGCATTGGATCCCCTAGGACATGAGTTATAGATGGTTGTGAATCACCATGTGTGTGCTGGGAATCAAACCTGGGATCTCTGCAAGTATACCAAATACTCTTAACAACTGAGTTATCTCTCCAGCTCATACTATACAACTTGCTCTCTTTGGTTTTTATCGGTTTATATCAAGCAGAAGTACAGGGGGTCAGTGGGATAGCTCAGTGAGTTCACTCTCCAGGGCGGGCCCACACGATAAGAGGCAAGAACTGACTCCTTCAAGTTGTCCTCTGACCTCTACATATGCATGCTGACACATAGGTGTCCCCACATATACACATACACAAATAATAAATGTAAAAGACTATCCAAGTGCTTCACCAAAACTTAAGTCCTCTCTCTCTCTCTCTCTCTCTCTCTCTCTCTCTCTCTCTCTCTTTCTCTCTCTCTCTCTCATGTGTGTGTGTGTGTGTGTGTGTGTGTGTGTGTGTGTGTGTGTGTGTATCATGTGCATGCCTGATACCTATGTAAATTGGAAAAGAGCTTTGGGTCCCTGGAGCTGGAGTTGCAGATGGCTGTGAGCTACCATGTGGATCAGCAAGTGCTCTTAACTTCTGAGCAATCTCTCTACCCTCATATATGTGTAAATCCCTGCATTGCCTTAACATAGTGTCATAGTAAAAGTTTATGAAGTTACCTTTTTAATTGAGTATAAAGTCAATCTTAGAGGAGTTAAACATAAGACATTTTAAATTTTATTCTACATAGCATAATCATATGTGTTTTTTGTTTAAAAGATTATTCCCTTTCTTGATGCATATTAGCCTAAGTAATATGATTCCCACTTTTGTCTGAATTATCAAATTTTAATATTTAGATTTTAATCATTTCAAATGTTTTCTCTTATCAGATGGTATGTGCAGTTACCTACACAGCAAGCTCATCAGTATCATGAATTAGAGACTCGTGGCCTCTCTCTGTCACCATCTCCTTTTCCTATGTCTTCTCTTGAAGAAGAGGAAACTGTAGTCAGAGATGAGAACTGTGCGTTGCCCTCACGTCTCCACCCGCAAGTAGCGCATAAGATTCAGGAATTAGTGTCTCAGGGAATAGGACAAGTGTATGCAGTGAGGAAGCAGCTCAGGTACAGGAGAAGCAGCGTTTTCTTTTACACTGGTTGCCTAGGTGATACACTAAGCATTGATTTTCTAGGACATCTGCATCTCACCTGTGAACATTGTTTTCAGCCAATGCTTGGCAAGCTTCATATGGTATTTCTTAATAAATTCTAAATGCTTATTTGAGACACTAAATCTTTGGCAGATTAGACTATTTCTTCGTGATGAATTTATTTTATTTTACTAGCTAAGGTCTTCCTGGCCTTTAATTCACTTAGGTAGCCCAGGTTGGCTTCCAGTTTTCAGCAATCTTCCTATCTCAGGTAACTAAGTGCTGGGATTACAGGTGTGAGTCACTATTCCTGAAATGAATTGAATTACATGATACATATTTTTGACATAAAAATGTGTAGAATCATAAAATTAAAAACCTAGATTAAAGTAATTATTTTAGATTATTTGAAAGTATATAGAATTTTATTGTAATGGGGGAATGAATATGATCAAAATAGAATATATACATGTATGATGTTCTCAAAAATTAAAATATTTGATTTCTAAAAAGATAAGTTAAACTATTTACTATAACTGTGTTATATTCAATTATAAATATGTTATGTATCACAACAACATTAATTAAGTATCTTGAGTACCATTAAAGATATGTCAATATACTACAAATAAAAGTTCCATTAGGCTGGAGGTGCTAGTTCTAGGACAGCCATGGCTACACAGAGAAACCCTGTCTTGAAAAAAGGAAGAAAAGGTTTTTCATTAGGTGAATAACTATCCAGATTAACTACAATGATAATTATTGTAATAAGGTGATTGATATATGTATATCACATATTCTGCCAAACCTTTAACTATACCATTTTACACATGAAAAAATAGAAATTAAAAATAAGTTATTGCCTTGAAAGACAGCGTCAGAACTGAAACCTGGATCTGGCTGTACAGCCTGTGTATAATGTTATGATACTTTGCTTCTTTTTGTTTACTGTGTACTGAAATCTGAATAACAAAATGAGAATTATAAGAATTAATTTGTGTTTGTTTGAGATTGGGTCTCACTGTATAGCCCTGGCTAGATTGGAACTCACTATGTATACCAGGCCTCATAGAGATCTACTGGCCTCTGCACTGGGATTCAAAGTGTGCACAGCTACAGTGAGCAGACACCATATAACCCTTCTGTTTTCAGAAATAAACATTTGTTTTCATTGAGTTGCCTACAGAACAAAGCCAAAATTTAGTAAAGCCATCCACTATTTACTAAAATTTGGCTTATTTTACTTATTTCAAATTTTTAAAATTCTTATTCTACTTATTCAAAAAGAGGTTCAATGAGAAGGAAGAGTAATGCAACTCTGCAGATCTAATAAATGTAATATATAAAGCACAAATGTATTAAACATGCAATTGTGTAGCAATGCTACTTTTCTTACACTGTCTTGCCTTCCGAAATCTTATTGTTTCACAATATTCGAACCATCAAGTTTCATGTAGTATTAATTGGTACCTTAAGAAGCAGTGTAACATGATGTTTACATATACAAATTGGAAATAGGTCCATGTTTTCTTACTTATTAAACAGGTATATAATTCAGGGCAACTTCAACTTGTGCAGCCTTCAACTCCCTCATCTGTGAGGTGGAATTGATTCTTGCACCGGGTCACATGGTCACAGTAATAGTTCAAGGAAATACCTGTAGTGTGTTCAGAATTGTGTCTTATATGGTAAGCACTTAAAAACATTATAATGTTCAAATTGAGGATTGTGGTCCAAGTTTAGTTCATAAAAATGTCCAAGCTCAGTTGGATGGTGGTGGCACACACTTTTAATCCCAGCACTTGGAAGGTAGAGGCTGGTTGATCTCTGTGAGTTTGAGCCAGCCTGATCTACAGAATGAGTTCCAGGACAGCTAGTACTGTTTACACAGAGAAACCCTGTCTTGAAACAAGCAAACAATGGGATTAAAGGCGTGGGCTACCACCACCTGGCAAATTCAATGTTTTAATGAATAGAAAGAAATCTAAAGTGGCTAATATTTTATTATTTACAGAATTATTCACATACATATGAATTATTTATAGAAATATGAATCATACTTTATAAAAGCTTATATTGAAAGAGAAACTTTCAGTCAGTCTATAAGTGCATCATTACAGTTATATTTTTATTTTATATCCTCCACAGAAAATTTGTGGAAAGAGAGCTGTTCAAACCTGATGAGGTACCTGAAAGACATAATTTGTCCTTTTTTCCAACTGTAAATGATATAAAAAATCATATCCATGAGGTACGGAAATCCTTGAGGACTGGAGATATGGTATATAATCCAGAGATTATTCCAGCAACGGTACGATCACACCCACTTCTTTGTTTCATTAGAGTCTTTTTCAGCTCCCATTAATGCATTAACAAGTCTCTGGTAAAATTTAATAGAAAAGTTACACCATCTCAATTGCTATGATTTAAGGAAATACATTAGGTAATTTTCTAAACTATGAATTCCACAAGCTCTCAGATAATGACTTAACTGCATATTTCTTACTTCCCCCATAAGGAACAGAAACTACAGTAGATTTCCAAATCTAATTATATCAGAGAAGAATCAATATTTTTTCTTTCTGAGAACTACTTCTTATTATTCAGTTTACAGACATTTATTGAGCACATACTGAGTATATCCCTTGCTCATTTTAAAAAATAGATGGTTAAGGTCAGGTGCACAAAGTGAGCTCTCCATGCCATATATGAATATCAGTGTTTACCTCATATTTTATATCGTCATTTCTCTGTCAATATCAATAATTTCTGAGATATTTTTACCATAGTTATCCAGAAATTAGTGATTACAGTAGAAGTAGTGACTAATTTAGGAATTAAAATCTGAGTAGCTTTAACTTTTGCCTTCTTGACTTTTTACTTTCCAAGTTTTACTATCTGAACATTTTTGAATTCTACTTATTTCTTATGTATGTGGATGTTTTGCTTGCATGCCTGGGTCCCATGGAGGCCAGAAGAGGTTGTCGGATTCCCTGAACTTGTGGTAATAGGTGGTTGTGAGTCATCATGATGGGCTCTGGGAATCAAACCTAGGTCTTCTGGAAGATCAGCTGGTGCTTCACTGCTGGGCATCTCTTCAGTCCTAGTACTTGTATATCTCAAATGCTAGACCTGCTGGGATCGTTTCTCTTTGTTTGTTGTGTATCTAAACTTATTATTACTCTACCAAATTCAAGAAATAAAATATTTTCCTTCTACACTTCCTACCAAAATTGCTGCTATCTTAGTTCATAGACCCTAACATAGTGGGACATACTTGCGCTTTGAGAATGTAAACAAGTAGAGAGTGATTACAGAACAAAACACGAGTGTAGTGAAAGTAAAACAGGAAGCTGGGGAGAGCTCATTCTGTCTTGTGCTTGCTGCACAAACATGCTGGTCTAAGTGGGATCCCCTAGGACTCATAAAAATGCTGAGCGTGGTAGGCGTGAACTTCCAGTCCCAGTGCTGGGGGGTGGGGGCAGGATGGAACTGGCTGTCTAATTGGTGAGGTCCAGGCCAATAAAAGATGCCATCTCAAAGGAAACAGACTTAGTGCTGTCCTCTGGATCCATATTCATACATGCACGCGCGCGTGTGCGCGCACACACACACAGTGAGAGAGAGGGAGGAAGAGAGGGAGAGTAAAAAAAGAAAAAAGAGGGCTGTAGAGTTGGCTCAGAGGTTAGGAGTGCTGCCTGTTCTTCTAGAGGTCCTGAGTTCAATTTCCAACAACCACATGGTGGCTCACAACCATCTAAAATGAGGCCTGGTTCCTTCTTCTGAAGGCAGAACACTGTATGCATAATAAATAAATACATCCTAAAAAGAAAGAGAAAGAAAGAAAGAAAGAAAGAAAGAAAGAAAGAAAGAAAGAAAGAAAGAAAGAAAGAAGACTGAGCAAGCCATAAAGAGCAAGCCAGTAAGCATCACTCTTCTGTGGCCTCTGTATCAGCTCCTGCTTAAAAGAAAAAGAAGAGGAAAATAGATTTGGCTAGATGATTTAGTAGGTAACGGTGCTTGCCGTTTTCAAAAGTTGTCCTCTGCTTTCCACACGTGTGCCAAACCATGTGTGTACACAAGACACAAAATAAGTAAAAGAGGCCGCCTTTAATCCCAGCACTTGGGAGGCAGAGGCAGGAGGATCTCTGTGAGTTCAAGGCCAGCCTGTTCTAAAGAGCTAGTTCCAAGACAGGCTCCAAAACCACAGAGAAACCCTGTCTAAAAAAACCAAAAAAAAAAAAAAAATGTAAAAACCACAGAGGAAACCCTGTCTCGGAAAAAAACAAAAAAGAAAAAAAAATAAGTAAAAGAGTGTACATTTTTAAAAGAAAATATGATGGTTGTATTAATGTCTTAAGATTATTTTCAGTATAACTCTGTTGCTTTTGCTGAAACAAATGTTCTCACTTCAGCTTCAGTGGACTACAGATAGCGGGAATATTCTCAGAGAGACTGTAACAGTTACATTTGCAGAAGGTAGGTTGTTTCTAAATATTTTTATAACATAGAAATCAATTGGTGTTATATCTGGAAAGAAGTTAACTATATCATATAATCATTAAAAAAAATCTCTCATGCTCCTGTGTCCCGGTGTGTGTGTGAAGGTCAGAGGTCAATGTCATGCCTCCTTCTCCCTATTCTCCATATCTTTATTTATTTATTTTGTGGGCTTTACCACTAAGCCTGGAGCTCACTGTTTGAGCTGGTCAGAAAATCCCAGGGGTCTGCCTTTTCTGCCCCTATAGCACTGGGATTGCAGACACTCAGGCTACCCCTGGCATTTCTGTGAGTGCTGGGAATCTGAGCTCATCCTGTTTGCACATCAAGTCCTTTACTCCCTGAGCCACGTCCTTGTCTCATTATGTAAGGAGACTGGACTCTAAAGAGGGAAAGAGTAGTATGTTGGACTTTATCAAACATTTCTAGAACCTTTATGCTTTTTTATGACCAAAAAAGTTGTTGTTGAGTAAAAGGATCCTCCTGCTCGGCCCTGAAGTGCTGGGATTCTAAGCATGTGCCAGCATATCTAACTCTCACTGAATCTGAGGCTGAATCAGCACAGTAAGCTACAAGAATGGCCCATGTGCCTTGATGCGCAAACTGTTGTCTATGCTGAATTGTTTGCTTTTCTCTGTGTCGCTCTCTCTGTCCTGGAACTTGCTATGTAGACCAGGCTGGCTTTGAACTCACACATCCACCTGCTTCTGCCTCCTGGATGTTGGGGTTACAGGTTTGCACCACTTCCACCTGCCATCACATATGTTCCTAACTCCTGTGTTCTTGAAACATTTGTAGTTTCTTTTATTTGTTTGTTTTTGTTTACTCTTTTACATGTGTTCTGTCTCCTGGAAATGTTTTCTCTTTTCTGTGTAGAAAATCCTTTTCTCACTGAGAGCAGTCTCTGGTTTTAAGTGTTTTTCTAACTTCATCTCTTACATTAAGGGAGCTCCTTGTTACATTTACCTCTGTACCTGCTGTGGTAGCTGCTGTTTACACATGTGTAGATTTAGTTGGCATTCTTCACGGTCAATGTTATAGTTAATCAAACCAAGTTTCTAGAGGATAATGTCTTCTAAAGCATCAATACCGTAGTCGCTAGAATCAACTAATGGATAGCTGTATGCGGAGTATTTCTGCCACTGTTAACCTCCAGGCGTGATGTCATGTCCCTTAGTTCTCACATTGGAACTTTACACTGATGCTCTTTGGCATCACCTGTGCATTTCACTTTATTAAGTTGCTGTGCTCTGTGCGTGCAGGTTCCTACTTCATGGGCTTAAAGATTAGCAATGGATAAACACTAAACAAATGTTTTCTAATTAATTACTATTGTGAAAAGTGCCATGTGGGAATTGTACTAGAAACATGCACTTAGAGGGAGCGTAGGGGTGGAAGGGCGTTGCTCTTTAAAATGTCACTGTTAGAGCTGGGTATAGTAGCACACACTTTTAATCCCAGCATTTGGGAGGCAGAGAAGGAGGATCTCTGTGAGTTTGAGGCCAGCCTGGTCTACATAGCAAGTTCCAGGACAGCCAGTACTTCATAGTGGAGAGAGAGAGAGAGAGAGAGAGAGAGAGAGAGAGAGAGAGAGAGAGAGAGAGAGAGAAGAAAATGTCGCTTTTTTTTTTGAGATAGAATTTCTATGTAGCTTTGGAGCCTGTCCTGGAACTCACTCTGTAGACCAGGCTGGCCTCAAACTTACAGAGATCCACCTGTCTCTGTCTTCTGAGAGTTGGCATTAAAGGTGTACACCATCACCACTCATCTGAATTAGAATTTTCTAAGGATTGACAAACATGAGGCACCGTGCCAGGCTAGTTTGTGGTTCAACTAATTAATTAATTAATATTAATTTTGAGGTAGGGTCTTCTATGTAGCTCTGGCTGTCCTGGAACTCACTATGTAAATCAGGCTGGCCTCTAATTCTCAGAGATCCACCTGTCTCTGCCTCCATGCTTGGCTATGTATTGATTTGTTGATTTATGATGATTTTGTTTGTTTTCAGATGGGGCATCAGGTAGCCCATACTGTCCTTAAACCCACTTCTGTAGCCGAGAGTTACCTTGTACTGCTGGTTCTCCTTCGTGCCCCGCCAGAGTTCAGGGATACATGCGTTTGCTACCTTGCCTAGCTTACTGATGATTTTTTGAAGTCCTCGATTCTGATAGTAATGATTGTTATAAAATTCAAGAGAAATAACGTACATCTCCTGTTCAACTCAGGAAATTCACTGGGAGAACCAGTTCCCAGCAGAGTGGGGGCGAGTAGGACACAGACTTCGTTGTCCCCAGGGCCGTTCCACTTGCTCTCCCCACTTCCTTCATTTCAGCCCAAAATCTCCTCACACTTACAGGTAGGCACCCAATAAACGCTAAGTTTAATCTTATACTTCTTTCATGATTCCTCTTTTAAGGACTTCAGAGAATTGCTGTAAAATTACAATAATGGCCATATATTTCTTTATTATTAATTCTCAAATCCTTTATGCCTTGATTGAAGGTGATAATTCGGGTATTATGTTCTGAAAAGTTTGAGGGAGACTCTGACTGCAGTAGTTTGCTGTATTGCTTTTCCTTGGTCCTTTTTTCTGTCTTCATGCAGTATTTGTTATTAACTACATACCTATTACCTTGTGTTCCAATTATTTTTTTTGTTGTCAAAGAATATCCAATGAGTGTGTCATACTCAGTAAATCCAAACATTGTTATATAACTCTTTTCTCTTTGGAAGGGTTTGAAGTTACAGCCAAGACTCTCCTCTCTTGATGGATCCCAATCTCTGGTATCAGGAAATGGACACCCTTCCTCTGGTCCTTCAGGACTTCTGGATGCAGCAGGAAGTGCTGTAGTGAATAATCATTCTCTACTGCTTGGTCAGAGTCAGAACCTTCGAACAGACACATGCCTAACGCAAAACAGTAGCGCTGCCTCTGCCGTGGGAAACCTCCCAGAGTCAGTTCAAAATCCCGAAATGGGTCCGCTGGTGGAAGCTGAAGATGTTGAGGATACAGGGAATCTGGAGGGAAGTGTAAATAGGATTCTGTTGGGAGATGTGCAAACCATTCCAGTACAAGTCGTAGGCAGCCATTCAGCTCTTAGTAAGTGACCATCAGTTTACAGTTGCCTGGTATCACCCCACCAAACAATGGAAAAAGCATTTATTTCTACCCAGTGGGCTTATAATATTGTAAAGTTCAAACAAAATTATGAGAGGAAGATATTTCATTAACCTAATCTTTTTTCTTATTATGTCTAATTATTTAATCCCAGTGAAATTATTCGTTGTCTATCCTAGCACTTTAAAGGCTTAGGCAGAAAGATTGCAAGTTCAAGGCCAGCCTGGTCTACAAAACAAGCTCTATATCAGCCTGAGCAACTTATCAAGACCCTGTCTCAAAATAAAAAGAGAGCTGGATGGCAGAGTAATTTATTGCTTAGCAGGTCCTAAGAACTGAGTTCAGTCGCCAGTGCAGACAGGAAAAGAAGGAAAGAGGAAACTATTCATTTTGAATTTTTTTTTATTTTTATTTATTTTTTGAAACAGAGTCTCACTGGCTGTCCTGGAACTCACTATATAGACCAGGCTGGCCTCAAACTCATGTGACCACTATGTTTAGCTGGATTTATATAATTTATTTTGAATACAAGGGTTTTGCCTGTGTGTATGGTATGTATGTGCTGAACATGTGTTCCCGGTGCCCAGGGCCCTAGGGCAGAAGAAGGCCTTGGTTATCCTGTAACTGGAGCTATAGATGGTTGTGGATCATCATATGGGTGCTAGGAACCGAGCCCAAGTGCTCTAACCTCTGAGCTATTTCCCTAGCCTCATAGCTCGTTTCTTGATTACCTGCTTTTCCATGGAAAGTCTATGGTGATGTAAAACTAGCAAAATTATTTTAGAATACATAAAATGTGCTATAATGCATAGAATGTAATAGAAGTAAGTCGTGTAAGGAAAATTACTTAAGGGCAAAGATTATGGAGAGATGACTCAGAGGTTAAGAGCAGTGTCTGGTCTTCCAGAGGTCCTGCGTTCGATTCCCAGCAATCACATGGTGGCTCACAACCATCTGTAATGAGATCTGGTTCCCCTCTGTCCTGTAGGCAGGAGGCATGCAGGCAGAACACTGTATATAACATTAATAAATAACATTGATAAATGTACATAGAAAGGATGGGATTAAGTAGCCAATAAAAAGTTAGTAATAAGAAGTTGGGTTATACACTTAAATATTGAGTTTATTGTACATTTACAGAAAACCAGTAAGATTTGAGCACATGAGTTTGTTTGAAGACCTTGTTATCTTTTGTTGTTGCTAACCCAGTCGTCATAGTGATAAAGCGTATTCACTCCCACGACCTCACCACATTACTTTCACACAGCTTCTATGGGAAGAGATCAGTATGCATTTTACTTTGAAGTATAAACATCTTCACGGAAATTATCCTTACAACATGTATTTGCTCTATCTTAATCACCATTCTTTTTTTAAATAAAACTGAATAGCTTCTTTTAGAAAGGGTTACAGCCTTTTAAGTTTATAGGGAAACACAGTTGTATGAAATTCACAGAAACCTTTTATAACTACAGAGTAACATTACAGGTGAGGAGAAAAATGAGTATATGAAAATATATTGTCATCACACCATGCGAAAGTTAGCTGTATTCTCATTCTACAGATAGAGAAACCAAGGCTCAGGGAATTTAACTAATTGCCTAGTGCTCACATTTAGTCAGTGATAGAGGAGGGGACTAAGCCCAACTATTTTAATCCTTACCTCTAAGGCTTGCTTTCTCCCTCTGTATATAACAGTAATATGTCACATAGGATTTCTGGGAGCATTAATCCAAACTGCTTTCAAAGAAACCCCTTTTAATCCAAATTTGTATGATTTATCTATTGTGGTCGTAATCTGGAGAGTTACTTCACTAGGATTGTGGGGTCCTCTTTCCTTCTTGGCTCGTTGGCTGTCAGGCGGCTGAGAGGGGAAAGAGGTAAAGGGTGTGACAGGAAGGTTTGTAGGCTCTCCTATAGCAGAGCCCCTAGCACGAGTCTTCTGAGCAGATAAGGTCAGTCCCCTAGACCAGGGACATTCCCCAGACAAAGGCAGGTAGAGAGCTGGAAGCTCTGCTGGTGGGAGGGAGCTCCATGCTGCCCAGCTAATGAGAAGCTGCCAGGCCATGGCAGACTGCGACTTCTAACTAGCCAGCAATGTATTCCTCCAGGATGTGAGCCGTTGTGGTCCCCATGTTGCTGAATGAACTGCAGTATAAAGTGCAGTATACCTCTAACAATGTGCATGTGGCCAGCATATCAGTAAGCAGGTCACAGTCCCTCTACCCTCTGCTCTCTAAGAGCAACTGAGCAGAGGTTCTTGATAGAGAATGATGATCCGAGGCCAGGTGTGATGGTGCCTGCCTTTAATCCCAGCACTTGGTCTCTAGGTTCAAGGCCAGCATGGTCTACATAATGAGAACCTGTCCCCAAAACTAAACAAAAGAACAAGTGAAGATGCATTGTATTGGCCAGTTGACAGTGTTCCGACTGGTGTGCTTGCTCTCCATCCATGTGGTTGTAAGCACGGTGGAGGGTGCTCAGGTGTTCTGAAGTGTTATAGATCAGCAGCATAGCTCACACAGCTTAGACAGGACCATCATTCTAAGATGTGCTGCTGTGTTTTCTAATATGCCAAATATTTTTTTCAACTTTACCATGACCCTTTTCTAAACTGTGGTTTATTTGAGTTTATTCTAGGTTCAGATTGTTTTTATTTTTTAAACATAAAGTCTCATGTATACCTGGTCAGCAGCCTGGTCATGTCTGTCTTTAATTTGTATACTTTTAAAGAGACCACAGTGTAATAAAATATACTAACCCTTTTCTGTCTTTTGTTTGGTTTTAAAGTTGAAGAAAGTCTAGAAGATACTCTGTCTGTGAACCAAGTTAAACAAGAACCCAAAGAGTCAACACTGTCTATAGGAGCAAAACCTTTTCTGGACTGTAAAAAATTATCTGCTACATAAAATGCTTAAAGCTTTTCAAATTCTACAGCTCTGGTTCTGATGTCTTCAAAGGTTAAGATTGACAGGCATGGCATGCATGTCAATCATTGTACCAGAACACAGTGATGAGCAGCTTTGACTGAAAACTTGAATATTTGTTGTCAATAATATATTTGTATTTCTCTCAAGAAGTATCTTGCTTTATTTTGTATTCCTATTTTTTTTTAATTATCCAGTAAGACAAGTGTTAAAAGATCATCTGAACTTCACAGTAATTTAGTGTGAACACAAATAGTTATCTCACTCCTGGAAATACCTAGTATTGGTTCTTATAAGACAAAAAAGGCCAACAGTCAGATTGTGTGAGTATGTAGGGCATGTCTTGTGTGCTCAGAAATTTAAAATTGTGTGGAGAGTTTCGATTAGCTAACAGGTAAGAGAATTTGTTATGTGTCTTTTTTTTTGAAAAGATAGAGCAATAGATTTATATGAAAGCACAGAGCTGCCAGTCACATTCCTATAGATTTCCAAAGTGGCCCCCAGCCACCAATCACATTCCTGTATATTTGCATAGTAGCCGACAGCCACCAGTCACATCCCTGTAGATGTGCATAGTAGCATACAGCCACCAATCACACTTCTGTAGATTTTCATAGTAGCAAGCTTATGACCCGCACTTACTGGGAATTCCTCGTTCATGGGGAAGAATTGCAATCCCCGATCCCCATCACGAATGGGGTTCAACGGGTTACCCGCCTCGAACTCACAGAGATCTGCCTGCCTCTGCCTCCCTAGTGCTGGGATTAAAGGTGTGCGCCACCACCACCCGGCTTAATACAACTTTTTAATCAAACAACTTTCACTCATGAACATTTTTCTCCTGCAAGCATTCATTATTGTAAAATAAGAGTCAAGGCATCTATCTGACAGCTCACTTACAGAGTTTTTCTTCATGAATTGGTATATGTAAAGAGAAAGCAAACTTAAGCTTAAAGTAAGAGAAATTAGTCCTTCTAAGTGGGTGGTATCATTTGGGAAGATTTAGGACATGCTGTCCTGCTGAAGGAAATATGTGAAGGCTATGAGAATTTACATCCATACACCAGTTCCAGTTCCCACTCTGCTTCATGCAGGAGATTAATGATGTGAGTTCTTTTTTAATATTTATTTATTATGTATGCAATATTCTGTATGTGTGTATGCCTGAAGGCCAGAAGAGAGCACCAGACCTCATTCCAGATGGTTGTGAGCCACCATGTGGTTGCCGGGAATTGAACTCAGGACCTTTGGAAGAGCAGGCAATGCTCTTAACCACTGAGCCATCTCTCCAGGCCCCAGGATGTGAGTTCTTAAGCTCCTGCTTCAGGTGCCATGTCTGACAATTTTTGTCATGGAACTTTCATGGTGATTCTCTTATCTTCTAGGACCAAGGGCCAAATTAAATGCATTTATAATTTGAAATAGAGATGATATCACAATAAAAAAGGAGTGAGTACACATCCTTAAATATTTATACCTGAATTACTTATCCCTTGCAATTGAAGAGAAGTATAAAATCTAAAAGGGTTTCATTATCATTCAAATTCATAGTGCAAGAAAAATGGTACCCTTACTACCTGAAGTCAGGAAACACCTACAGTTGTGAAGAGAAGGGCGCCCCACTAGATGAAACAATAATGTTCCTCTCTGAGAGAGAGAGCCATCACAGCTGGGATCTGCTCCATTCTTCTAAGAGAGTTTCCCAGCAGAAATGTCTGTTACTGATCTGCTCCACTCCCCTAATAGTGTGCCCCAAAAGAGGTGTCCATTGCTGCTGTGCTCCTCTGGGCTAAATGACTTTCCAAGTAGAACTATCAATTACAGCTTAGTTCAATTCCACTTGGGAGTTTCTGATCCATTCCAGTGAAAGAAGGTCTTCACAGAAATCTCAGTCAAGAGATTTGGGAGGGAAGAGAGTGACTGCCTCTGCCAGGGTGGAAAGGGACAGCTGCCAACTGAATGAGCATATGACTCATATAGGGTTTCTTAAAACCAGATCTCTTCTAAGGAGATTTTGAAGGTGGGAACTGGTCAGATTTCAATCTTTGTGCACAACCAGAGAGATGGACTGGATTTTGTGCTCAGAGATTGGTTTTGTGCTCAGTGAACAAAGGTAGAGTGTGTTTCTTTGGCTCTGGTTTGAGAGCCAAAGTGTGTTTCCTTCATTGGCTCTTTTTAACTTTTTGGCTCTGTTTTAGGGTGATGTTCTTATAACTAGCTCTAGATTCAGGGACAAAGTGTTTTCCCTTGGATCTCATTTCAATACAGGGTGTGAGTCTTTGACTGGCTGATTTTCCTGCCTGTAGGACTTCATAACTCCAAATATTATGTTTTTTCCATTAGTTTGTTGGTGCAAATAAAATAGTGTTATCATATTGAACAGATTGTTGACACTATGAGTTTTTTTCTACCGAATGAATGCTGTTAGTTATCTGACTGTAAATGTATTGGCTTAGGATCTTGAAAAATAATTTAGAATAAGCCCTCGGGTTCTTC